AAGCTTGTGTTTTGCTGCAGGGGGGGTTCCTTCTATCCTATCCTTTTGTTCGGTCTCAGGATGCCATATCGAGGGCAAAGTCACTTGGGAGCTTTCCTGAGGCCGATCAACACAAACATGATGATTATGAATGCAAACATGTGCTTGTAAGCATTTTTATCATTTACGTTGGTTGCAGGTCACCGAGATTGCAGATTCACAAGATGATGCGTTCCTGGGTTGAAATTTGGTGGAGCTTACATGAACATTGTCTTTTGTTTCGGTGCCGATGTATGGTTTTTGCTATGTGTGGAGGCTTGCTGCTGCTGCCGCCAGTGAGACCAAGCAGGATTCTTCAAGTGATCTCGCGGGCGGTGCTGCAGTTGACTCTTTTCAGCCTCATGGAGTTGAGAGCCAAGCTGAGGTCCCAATGCCCCCACTGCAACTTCCAGAATGTCCGGTTCCCATGGAATTGGATGATAGCCAGATTCCACCAAACGATTTGGTGCCAGTGAAGGTCGAGGTCTCTTTGCAAAAGAGCGAGGCAGTGGGCAAGGATGGCTCACAGGAACCCACTCCAGCCCCAACGTGTTCTCCTCCCGATGACCCATTTGCCAAGCCAGGTGATGTTTCGGGAAACCTTGCAGGTGGTGATTCCAAGTCCAATTTTGTTGATCCACTTGCAAACATTCAGGTCCCACATCCCACAGGAACCAGAAGTTCTCCGCCGTTCGGAATTGCGGGACTTGCGGAAATCCCAAAAGAAGCCAAAAGGGGAAGCCAAAGCCAAAGCCAAGGGTACCGGGAAGGGACGAGGAGGGAAAGGTCGCGGGAGGGGCAGGAAGGCAAGGGTTGTACCTGATGACCTCCCTGCATCTTCTGGTGAAGAAGATAAAGCAGAGGAATTGCCAGGTGATGAGCTGCCCAGTCCAGCCCCTGCCACCCCGCCGAAGGCTTTGGCAAAGCAAGCAGCCAAGGCCAAACCCAAGGGCAAGGCCAAGGCGGCACGCAAGGCGTCACCCAAGCGCAAGTCGCGTGCGCGTGCAAAGCAGTCCCCCAAGAGCAAGGCTAGCACCCGCAACACAGCAGGTGCTGCAAAGGCTAAGGCCAAGGCTAAGGCAAAGGCAGCATCAAGCAAGAAAAGGAAACAGGCAGACCCCTCTACCAGCCCAGAAGCACCTGTTGAGAAGAAGCGGAACACCAAGGCTGCATCCCTGCAGGCCATCCCACGCGATGCCCGACCCGCCTTCAAGAAGCACATTGTTCTGAATATAATAGTCATGTTTTAGTTCCTTCATGTCCTTCTCCTCCAAAGATTGGATTGCTGCCTCTGCAAAACCATGCAAAACCTATAAGTCATAATATTTCATTGCATAACATTTCAATATGTCATATTGCTCTGCCATCCTCAAGTTGTTGGATGAATTGGAACTATGTTTGAGCATTATGTTTGGTGAGGGTTTGTGATGCAGCTCAGGCATATACGTGTGTTTCAACACTTCAAGTTGGAGCCGTACTGGACCCGCTCACAGTGTGGCATTCGCACCAAGGAGGATCACAAGCACGTCTTCTTGGGGACAGAAGACGGCATGATGCGAAACATCAACATGTGCAATGCTGTGGTAACATATTTGCAATTGGTTTGAGTCAAGTATTTGCAGAAACAGTGATTCATTCAAACATACAGGTTTGTTTGCTTATGGGGGGAATATTTATAGGACACATGACTTTCTTTTTCAGGCAACTCTGCTGGATTCCAATCCGGAGCTGGACAACAAGAGTGATGCCTTTAAGGAGGCGGTTGCCAATATCAAGAAGCACTTGAAGTGAAGGGCCGGGGATCAAGTGATTGGGTATAATTTCCAGTCTGGAAAGTGCTGCTTAGGATTTTACAGTCATGCAGCAACGATTCCAATATGCACCATTCAGAATCACAATGGGTGGGTTTCAATTCTTACTTTAGGTTTGGCAAGTGCGACCTCCGCACTGCAACACTTAGGGAAAACATGAAGTTCACAAACGATTGATGTGGCTCAAAACTGGTCTGTCGGAGGTCAGTGTCCACTGACAAAAGTCGTCAATCTTTTGCTTTTGTATGCCTTCTGACACAGCTAGATTACCTTCATGTTTCATCAGTATCGCCAAAGGATGCCAGTCGTGCCTGCCTCCCCAGTTTCTTTCATCTTGTTCTTGTTCAGATTGTTTTGCCTGTTTGTGCTGTTACCGGCCCAGGCCATGCCTCGTGGATGCAAAGGCCTGCAAAAGCTTTTGCAGGCTGAGGCTGAGAGAGGACAGGAAGAAGGCGAGGAGAGATTCACCAAGTTGTTGTCAGCTCTCTATCTGTAGAAGTGCAACACTGAACCAAAAACAAAGCTGTTCCACTGCTGATGTTCTTGTGTATATGTTTGACAAAACAATTGGTTTGCAGATGCACTTTGTAACTCATTGTCGGATTAATTTAAGCCCACATGTTTGTGGGCTGATCTATAGATGTCTCTTAGGATTGACTTGTGAGCCAACGTTGAAGACAGTGACAGTTCAATGATGTTACGGACTCTTGATTGCCATAAGGGAATATTATATGCTCGTATTCGACAAAAGCCGCTGAGCCGCTGAGCTGTAGTTCTGGCTCTGAGTGCTGCTGATTAATAATATTTGCGCATCTCACTTAGGGCACCCACTTGGTTGGACGACGCCATGGATCAGAATCACATGCCACGATGGGATGCCGGTGATTTGGTGCGGCTTTTGTACAGGGCACGAATTCCTCAGGCGAGTTGGAACAAGTCCTGTTGAGAGAAGAATGATTGAATGGGTGAATGGGTTCTTTGCCCTACTATAGGACTTACAATATTTGCCTTCCATGATCTTGTTCAGCTGGATAATAACAGTCACACGTTGGACGAGTCCATCCGCGCATTTGTTCAGGTGGTGGTTTGGTGCCTGCTTTTGATGCTGTGGAATCCTACCTTGAACACCACTCGGGTGCCTCAGACTCTGACTTTTCTATTCAGGGTTTGTGAATTGTTCAAATAAACTTCGTGCATCATCACATCCACATGTGTTTGTCAAGGAGCTTTCAAGTTTGTGTCGCTCAGACTTGTGAAAAAGCTGAACAAATGTAAACCTTTTGATCTGCTGAATGAATGCAACAAGGTCTACCAGTTTGCTGAGTTCTTTGCTGGACAAGGGCGGTTGACAGATAGTTTGAGAGAAGCGCAATATATGGGTGTAGGTTTGGACATCGAGTACATTGGGGGACCAGCCATGGACTTGACTACACCATCTGGCATGGCGTTTCTTTGTCTAAAAATAGAGGAGGAGTAACATGTTCATTTGTCTAGGCCACTCGTCCTGTTTGTTCAGATTGTTGTGCAGTTTTGTTCGACTGAATGCTCCAGGTTAGCGCTTCTGGTGGTACTGAGGATGAAGCCGCAAAGCATCGGAGTGCTTGCTCCTATATGCTCATCCATGGGTGTCCTTGCCTCCGGAACGACTCAACGATCTTTCATATCTCCTCTTGGACGGACAGACTTGGTGGGAGTTGACACCGGCAACCTCCTTGCCATAAGGTCATTTTCCTTTGCTGAGGGTAAACTTTGCAAGATTGACTTGTGAAAATTGAACTTTCGCAGTTTGTTGGTGTGTTGACCTCAAATATTGACGACCCCGCATACCATGCAGGTCAACAATCCTTTGCATGCTCCTTGCGGCACTGGGGCATGTGTTTGTCCTAGAGCAGCCTTCGGGGGGCTACTTCAGACATCTGCCAAGATGGAGATACATGTGCAAATACCTCGTTGTTGCCACTTGCAACTATTTAGTGGTACAAGCTCCCTGTTGTTGAGAGAGCTTTGCGTCTATATAGCTCCTCCAAATCCATGTGTGGTCCAGTGAGGTCTACAGAACTTCCCTCTGGATGCGGCATTATGGCTCATCCTCCTTGAAAAGAACATTCTTGTGGAGCAACAGCAGTATCGTCAATGAGCTGGACCTTGGAAAACTTACCAAGGCCCAAGAATGCAAATGTTCCTATTTAATGGTGGGGTTTAGATTATATATATATATAGAGAGAGATAGCTCTTGACCTCCACATCAGAGCCCAAGTGATTGCCATGAGGTCCCTTCCACTTTGTCAAATCCTACTGCGCGTGGCAGGAGCAAAGAGCTGGAGCAAAACCTTTGGCACGGACGTATCAAGATAAAGCAGGCCGCAAGAGATTTCAAGGGGACAAGAAGCGGCTTAAAGAGAGCCAGTGGTAGACTCAGATGCAAGTTATCAGTAACGTTCTAGATTCTAGATCAGGGATGTGTGATGCATTGTGATTCTGTGTATGTAAATTATATATATGATATATTGTATTTTGTTGCAGCCATTGTGCAGTTTCATTGTCCAATTCGATGTGCTACTTGAGGAAATATACAACCCAATTTGGGAGAGCATTTGCATCTATTCTTCCCCGACTTCATGAGGGAGTAAAGCTAATCCGGAACCCGCAGGCAGGCAGGAACACGTTTTGAAGGCTATCTATATATATATATAGTTTTCTTGTGTGGAATTGAAAGGGCAGTAAAACCTATATACAATATATATACACACTGTATAGATGTTTGAATGCAGGATTGTGGACCATGTTCTCCTCTGACCCTTCTGAACGCTATCGATTTTGGTGAAAGGGATGATCTCTGGCATGATGGACGGATGCAGGAAGTGCTTGAATATTTAGACCAAAGCTCTTCCTATCGCATTCCACGCCAGTTCCAAGAGAGAGTGCATGCGTCTTCTGCTGGCTCTCAGGGCTGAACCGCCAAACAGGATAGATTCCAGAGCTAATACATAGATGTTTCTAAGACATAGGATACACTCCAGGATACATATTGAGCTTGTTTTTTTTCTAAAGGCAGTTAGCACCAAATCCATATTCAAATGTTTGCCTTCACAGGTACAGGGTCAGATGGTCAGAACCTTGTATCGTTTTGTTGGTTTATACACTCGCTCAACTAGCATGCATCTTCTGGCGATGGGGGACCAAGAGGCCTTGGATGAATTACGGGACCTTTTCACTTACACGGACTCCTTGGGAAATCTTCGGAAAATCTCTTACATCAAAGATGCGAGAACACCTGTTGAGCAGCAGCCAGCGAAGCGTTCAAAGTTGCGTGGCACAAGGGTGGTGAGTAGGTTGACTTTCGTAGTATAGGTTGACTGGACTTGCAACTGTTTGTGTGCTACTGTTTGTGGTTGCTTCCTCTTCTGCTTTAGATGTTTTGTACATTCAGTCCACTCAAGGCTTGTTTTCCCAGACGCAGCTGACCCACTAGCACGCAGCCATGTGCACTGTCATGATCAGGAGGGGGGGCGTGTTGTAGTCAGGAACACTTATATGTGCGGTAAGACTGTGTAAGTGTAATCCACTCATGCGGTTGAAACAAACTTACACTGAGTTGGTGGTTGTGAAATTTTGAGGAGGAGCCTCACCAACAAGAACGAAGTTCATGTGAAGCCGTCCCTCCTGGCTGGCAAAATGCCCTTGATCCACAGATTTTTGTGGACCTCCCACGAGCTGGGGTCCAATCTGGACAGATCTTTCACCATTGTGTGAATGCAGTGCACAAAATTCGACAGAGAATGGGTGGTGTCCAGCTATGCGTCTACAAACTGGGCATCACCAGCCAGTTGAATGGCCGCTGGCCTTCATACAAGCAGTCAGGATTTACCAGCATGACTTGTTTGCATGCAAGTATGAACTTATCCTCCATGGAAATGCTTGAGGCCGGCCTGATTGCAGTGTTCAGCCAGGAGCCACATGGCTCACTACGCAACATCAATCGCGGTGGTGAGGGCATGCGGACTAAGAAAGGAGCACCCAGGTTTCCACCACCTTATTTCATGTATGTTGTGTCCGCAAGAGCCGATCAAAACCGGTTGATAGGTTCTTAATTCGACCACTTTATCTTAGCTGTTGTAGGATGCTTGGCCTGTCCCAAGCCAGAAATTAAAATATGTGGTTTGAAGTGGGAAAATGTGTGCGCGAGAATGCAACGGAAAACCAAAAATATGCAACGGAAAACCAAAAATATGCGCAAGAATGCGCAAGAATGCGCAAGAATTTTTGAGGGACCCTGAGTGTGTTCAGATAGGGCCATGGCATGAACATCAGTCTAGATCTCGTCCTTTTATGAAGTGGATGTGGTGTTCAGCAGCTCTTCTTCAACAGCTGCCTTTGCATCAGCAGAAGTTGTGTGTGTATGTGCTTTTGAATCACCCTCCGTGTGCAATCGGCCAGGATCTATGATCTCCGGTGCTATTGGTACGCCCCGCACTGCACAGGCTGCAATCGATGATTGCAATATTAATTGCAAAGGAACACATTTGTAGAGATCAGGTGAACATGGTCGCATAACCATGGAGTCTGATAGAGTCTGCACGTGATAGATTCTGATTATATATATATATATGTGTTAAATCTTTAGTTCAGCTATGCGCAAGCCTCACATGTGCTTTGGACTGCTTTTGTTCAGAGGTGAGCTGTCTAATGGGTATGGTCTATATATAGTTCCGAAGTGGCTTTACGCAACATAGGCTGCATTTTTTGCTGAGGTGTAGTGTAGCTTCAATCTTGTTTGCCAGATGTCGTTGTCCCGGGATGGGGGCAGCAACTCGTCCTTGCAAAGCCTCAAGAGAGGGCTTGCAGCAATCGAAGATCAGTCCCAACCATCAACCCCGCGAAAGCAACACGTAGCATGGCTGCATCACAAGACAAGACTTGCAGTCACGCATGTACGTTGCTTGATCTCGATTGTCTTTGCTGTGATGATCCTTTTACGAGCTCTGTAAGGATATTGCAGTGTATATATCCTATATTATATATTGTGTATATATATATGCACATTTTGAGTCCAAGACTCCAAGATTCCAAGATCATAGTTTTCACCGTCTTCACTTTTTGAGGTCAAGCAGGAGCTTCCTGAGACAGATGTTGGCGCCTTCAGCCCAGAGACGCGTCTTATCCTCAATTCACTTCCAGACACTCCTGAGAGCTTGAGCTTGAAGGCCAAATACATGCAAACCAAGAACCAATTGCGAAGAGGACAGGTGTCCATCCAACAAGCCGTTCCTTTGTTGTTTAAATAGTTCTTAGCAGGCCCTATCAATCACAAGGGGTGAGTTCAGTCAGCATCGTACAGTCATACATTACTTTTTTGCATCTTGTGGTTCTTTTCCACGATGTAGGATATTCCAGCGGCAGTGCTGGTGGTTCTGTCTTGGGTTCGGATGCACGAGTTCCAAGTCCAGAATGCCCCGCTGATGCTGCAAGCCAGCAGCCGGACACTATCCCTGCTCCTCACGCACCTTTGGTTGCAGCAGTTTGCATGGAGACAGCTCCATCAAAGGAGGTGGAGACGTTCCTTGCTGAAAAGTGGGCCGTGGTTGAAAGTGAGATTGATGCAAAAAAGCGGCAAGCTGAACTGGAACTCAATGAGGTCCAGGAGAAACGTCAAAGACTTGAGTCGGAGCTTGAGAAAGGATCAGAAAGGCTTGTGCAAGTCAATGAAGAGATCAATCGGAAACTTCGTCAAGCTGAACATGAGCTAGATATTGTATGCCACAAGAAAATTGAGATGGATACTGAGCTTGAGAAAGGCATGTCCAAGCTCAATGCCATGCAACAAAAGCTTATGTTGCTCGAGCGAGATATGAAGAAACATGAGGCGGCTGCAGCCGAGGCTGCAGCAAAGTCTGCTGCAACCAATGCCGAGGCTGCAGCAAAGTCCGCTGCAATCAATGCACTGGTGATGCATGCATCAGATGCTACGATGCCAGCTGCTGTCAGGCAGCCTGTGGCAACGACGTTGGCTGTTGTCAATCGAGCAAGGATTGACAAGTCCAATGCCAAGGCATTGCTTATGTCCAAGATTGAGGAGTCTGTCGTGCCATCAAGTGAAGGGTCAACTCCTGTGCGGAGAGAGGTCTTTCCAACTACTTCCTCCACTCCGCCTTCAACACCCGCGACTCATGCTGGCAGTGGAGTCACTACTTTGTCTCCAGATTCAGTACCTGCAGGTTCTGAATTGACTCCATCTGAAAGAGTGAGTGATCGAGACGACTCAAAGTGCAGTGCTGAAACCCGCTTTACAAGCAGCACGCACCCTGAAGCATGGGGAGCCCTGTACAGGATTGTGAGGAAGGTCGACACTGATGGAAATCCAGCATGTGCCAAAGAAATCTATGATGCATGGCATCAAGGACAGAAGATCGATTACAGTTTTTTGTCCATGGGTTGGTCAATGAAGCACAGGTCGTACAAGGTCCATTTTTTTCAAGCTTGTACTGTTTCAATTTGACATGGCAGGAGGACCTGCCAGAGACAAGCTCCTGAAGGATTGGGTGTGCCGGTGCTACTCGCCTTCTTCAGATGCGAATACCAACAAGGCCGTATCACATTTATTTCCAAAACACAGTGAAAACACATGTTTGATCAGGTTTGCATTCATTGCATTAATTCTTACGCATTGCATTTATTCTTATTTGCATTGCATTTATTCTTATATGCATTGCATTTATTAAATTACTATATATGCATTGCATATATTCTTATGCCTTTTCAATATAGCCTTCAATGCCACCATGCGAGTTTGTAAAGTCGTGCTTCGGCCGCCGGACATCAAGTCAGGCCAAGCTCACGGCTTTGATAACCCTTCGCCAGCAAAGCCGCAAATGGAAGAAGTCTTTGCAAGGCTTCTCTTGGAAAACAAAGGATGAGATGCAGGCTCTTGGTTGGCCTCAGACACCTGGCCACAACAACTAGAATGAGTGAAGTTTTGGCGTGATGCACATTGTTGTTGCACGCAAAATGAAGTGCATAGAAAAGCATGCACTCATCTTGTGCTGTGTTCATAGCGCTAGAATTTGCATGCAAGGAGCAAGATTGATGGCGCTATCAGCTACTGCGAAAAGCGAAAGCTGACAAAGCCAGGGCCTCACTGCAACCTTTGTCTCAGTGAATGCCATGTCCCGTATTCAAAGTTTGCTTGCCCTTTCTGGGCTGAGGCGATGTATCTATGACCGCACTATCATCAAGTACTTGGTCCAAGTCAAGGATGATGTGGAACAGGGGGACGAGCAAATGCAGATGTTGGAATCGGAGATGCAGAATCTTGGTCTATTCAACACCGAGTTTAGTCTTGGTGATATCATCGGCGACGACGATGATGAGCAGAAGCCAGAAGACATCCCCAGGAAGAAAACCAAGTTGCCAGAATATCCAGAGGTGGAGGGCGAAGAGTCGCTTCAGGAATACCTTGGGCAGTACAAGAGGGCATGCTTGTCGCGGAAGGCCTTGTTCAAAACTACTCGGGACAAGCTCAGTGAGCCTGGTGCTGGCAAAGGGTATGAGTAGCTTGGCTCCATTTGCTGTGTCGGTCAAATGCCGCATCCATGTGCAGTGAAGTACTATTAAGCATGGTTGCCGGTTCTCTCGTTGGCCCAGGCAGGACCTCAAGAATCTGGAAATATCTGTTGGCGCCTTGTCAGAAGAGTACTAGTCTATATACAGCGATATATAGTTGTTACAAAATCTCTTGCCTGCCAGCGATTGCTAGTGGCGACTTGCACTGTCTCCTCATCCCAGGTGTTTTTGTTTGCAGCGCTCGAATCCTGTGTAGTTGAGCTATCCTGACCACTACTATAGATGTGTATATGGACGCAGGGTGTTGCAGCACCAGAGTTTTAAGTGGTGTGGACAGTTGGAGTGCAGCATGGTAAACCAGTGTTGGCTAGGAGAAGCGAGATGCACCCAAGAGGGGTGTTTACACCAATCCGTTTTTGAGGAAAGCTCAGTGACTTCTTGACGGCTATGGCATCTATCGAGAGTGGAACAACCGGCAAAACGCTCCTTGTGCAGAGTGTGTTGGCAAAGGGGCGGGCGGGCGGAGGCATGCGGCGGGTAAACGTTTTTGGGGGATAGTTTGTGATGACTGTATTCTGTTGTTGTGCTCTAAACTATACCTTCATGCAAAGGTTTTGTGGGTCTTGGGGTTGGGACCCAAAGCCACTCAAAGCAGCACCATCCCAAATCAGTGACTATATTGGGCCTCTTTCCAAGTCAATGAGACCGATACATTTGTGATCATTTGTGTCTTCCAAATGTGGGCCATGATTCTCTATAGTAAGATCAGTAATTGGAATCGACGATAGGCAGATCTACAGAAAGGGATTTTCGAGGTGCAGGGAGAGCAATTGACTATATGTCTCTCTCTCTCTATACACATATATATATATATTAATATGTATATGTGTATATATATATATTGAAATATACATATGTGTTTATATATAATGCAGTCTTCCGTACGATTTTTTGCTATATGCATTGAAACATTTCAACACTTAGAGTATTGTTGTCTCCGATTGGAAGACACTTTAAGATTAGGTCGCGGCACTGACTTCCCAATCTATATTTTGTGGCCACATGGTGAAGTAGAGGTGCATGTCACAATGTACAGCCACAAAACTGTAACTAACATACACGATTAAATACAGTAACTATACATCCGAATTGGACCTGAGCTTCAACCACAGTTGGTTCTGGTTGGCCTTGAGTTTATTTTTCCCACCCCCACCCACCACGATTTCTTGTGGGGGTCAAGGGGTGATGCTGGGGTAAACGAGCAAACCTCATTTTGTAATTGCAGGCAACAAAACATGGCAGGTTCCCCATGTGTTCATATTGAATGTCCAAGGATGTCCAAGGGGACAAATCTCATCAATTTTCTAGTTCCGGTTTGAAAGTGAGACCACCACATGTCCGCACTTAAGGAAGCCTGCCTTCGCGAAAGTTTGTGCAGACATTCGAAGCGAGTGTTGGCCTCATTTCTTTTATTGGAAATCCAGACTTCTGATACTGTAGAGTGCCAGTGAGCAGAAGAGCAGAAGTGTTTTAAGGATATTTGAGAACCGCAAACATGTTGTTCTTTGCACTTTAAAAACTGTGGCGCCCGGCTGTTCGAGGTGCATCATGTTCACTGCATATCACAAGCAAGCCAAGATACTTGGATGCATTGTGGGGACACGCTTGTGGGAAAGATGCAGGGGTGAACGAAGGTGTATGCCATAGACGGATGACAATCACACATATATGCAAGGCATGTGTTGCTTTCAGAGTGTATTTGTGTCGGTGAATGTCGGTGAACACATGGACAAATTGTTCAAGGACAATGTGAATGTTCAATTCAAGAAGAATTTGTTCCTGTGAGTTTTGCTGTACAACCTGTACTCTATGGCCACCTGGCCACCACACTTCAAGAACTGTTGGAGCGTTGATGCCTCTGCTTGAGGACCTATTTTCCGAAGACCGCGGCCAAGAGCAAAGCCAAGAAGACTGAAACTGTGCCTGCTTTGCCTGATCATAGCTAGCTAGTTCGGGGATTTGATTTTCCAGGGTTGCTCCTTGGAGTCCTTGGTTTAGAGTTGAGAGCCAGTAGAACATACTACACAATCTTAAGCCTGGGCTTTCGGTTTGCTTTATCATCCTGATCTTTGTATATCTTATGTTTCAATCATGGTGTTCCTTCAGACTTTTGGTGTCCAATGTGTTCTATCACCAAGCACTCCGTATGGAAATTGTGGTAGAGCCTTACTGTAGCCCTGAAGTACTGCTGGCTCTGTAACTCTAGCCTCATAGAAAACTCCTCAAAGGCATTTGGGGAGGGGTGAGGATACATTGGGGGGCGTTCGGCACGAACAGTTGCCATGCCAGATGTTTCAATTTTGTTGGGGTGGTTTGGGCATGTGTGACTTCACACGTGCGTCCATGAATGCGCAGGCAGAAGTCATGTGCAAAAATACATGACTCTTATACACAGACTGTGGGCATTGGTCTCTTTCATCAACTCACCAAGGTTGTGGAAGTTTGTATCTATATATATATATATGTAGAGCTCAATCTGACAAACATGTTCTTCTCAGGCATATAACTGTTGCTTGAAGCTACTGGTCCAAATTGAGTCTGTTGCTGCCGGCACACAATTTCTATGCCAAGTCAACTTGTGGCGTATCAAGAACTCTCGCCGGGTAACCAAAACAAGAAGGCATGTTTGCAACATGTGTTTGATGCTAAAGAAGGTTGGTGCGTGCTAAAATGCTGGCTCCACCACGCAGGTGAACACCAAGATCCTTTGACACCAATGCAGGACGTTCTGGACACCTATGTTGCACCTGGTCTCAAATACCGGAAAGTGTAGATGGACAAATGCAGGATGGGATACTTTATTTTCATTGTATTTTTGGACTGACCTATGACTTCAATATTCTATCTGAGGCAGATTCTGCTACAAGAGCATGCAGGTCGGCTAGAACTATTGAACGGCTTGTCTCTGAGCGGGACAATCCTCACGAAAAGCTGATGCTCCAAGATTTCGGACGCATTGATAGTGCTCCACCGGGAAATAGGCTTCGGGACATGCAGCGCTTGCTCCAGAGCCGGGGTTTCATGCCAAATATTCCGACCTCCTGGATCAAAAAGGCTCCTGAGCTGTAAGAAATTGATTGAAACATGTTTTCACTACTGTTTCTTTCTCTGACTGCAGATCAAGTTTGTTCTGATACAAGTTGTGTCTCTGAGTTTTTTTACTTTGCTGACATTTGACAGATTTGACTTTGGTTCAGACATTACCTCGATACATTGAGGTACACTACAAAGAGTTCAGTGATACCTGGAAGGACCATCCTATGTTGGACGTTGCATCATTTGCTCAATGGCTGTTGCACTCACCTAGATTCTCTCATTTGCTGTTGGGCGGTGAGCCGCTTCAAAACGGGAAGAAATGGAGTCAAACATTGAGGCAGTTCTGGACAAGGTTTCGGGCCATTGAGCCCACCCATCCAGTATTTGTGGAGCATTTGTGTGCCAATTCTGCTACATGGAGATGAGGGAGTGGGCCACAGACGCAAGCCGGTTCTTCAAGTGTCCTGGGGTCCAATTCTTGGAGTAGAACAGCCTTCCCTCAAGAGATTGTTCCTTGTGACGAGCTGCCCAGCAAAGCTCTACTCGCACTTGAATGAAGGCATTGAAGCTGGCAATCCAGTCATTGACAAGATCCTAGATGCAGTTGCCAAAAGTCTGCATAGATGTTTCTACAACGGCATTGAGTATGGTCAGAATGAACGCATCTTCCTGGTTTGCATTGCATTGTGTGGTGATCACCCTTGGCAAACCAAGGCTATGAAGTGCCTGAGGCATCACACACGGACAGACGTGTGCCCTCTTTGTTTGGCCAGTACAGGGCCCGACCTGCCTTTTGAAGATGTTTCTATGAAGGCTATGTGGACTGCCACTGTTGGAAAGTCGCCACCTTGGAGAGATCTTCCACCTTTGTGGCATGTGCCAGGGTCCCTGGAACCATCCTTCATCAAATTTGACCTCATGCACTCTATGCCACATGGAGTTGGGCGAAACTTTGCTGCGTCAGCGATTTGCATGCTTGCAGGACCTCTTGGGCACTTCAAGCTAGCAAACAGCAACCGCCGGGACAAGAAGACTCGTCTTGTGGCAGCTTACAGAGAATTCTCAAGCTATTGTCATGCGGTTGGGAAACAACCACGGGACATGAAGGAGTTTACGCCACAGAACCTCAATTGGATTGGCAACAATGACTTCCCAGACATGACAGCCAAGGCAAGTGACTGCACAATGTTGATACAGTGGATTGCGGACTATATTGCTAGCCGGCCGTTTGTTCTAACAGAGCCTCTTGACCTATGTCTTCGAGCTGCCGTTGCTTTTGACGAATTTCAGAGGCTTTGCTACACAGCAAACAGAGTGTGGTTTGGGCGGGGTGAGGCCCAGAGGGCCCTTGAACACATTGTGACATTTGTGTGTTGCTACAAAGCTTTGACCAATTGGGCGTGCAAAAACAGGTGGACGCTTTTTATGTCCACACCAAAGCTGCACTTTTCCGCGCATTTTGCCTATGACTTGTATGTGTTCTTGCAAAACCCTGAGCTCGAGTATACATTCAATCCAGGATGTTTTGCAACTCCCATGATGGAGGATTTTGTGGGAATTACATCCCGCATCGCTCGTACATGTCACCCTTCAAATGTGCCAAAAACAGTTCTATACAAGTATCTTGTCACGGCTCGCAAAGCATGGGCAAGCACTGGCAGCAGTGCAAAAGGGAAAGTAAAGAAGGGACTAAAGAAGGGAAAGAACAAATGTGCGAGGTTGCGGACTGGGGGATGGGCGGGCGGAGTGTGTTCCATCATTGAAGGCCAAGATGTCTTCAAATGTTTGCTTCTGTCAAACAGTTTGGGACCACATTCCACTTTATGGAGCATGATCTTACTAAATCTAAGGAAATCTCAAGAAGACATGATTGTTGGACCACGCTAGGAACCACAACCCATCCTCCAATGACATGACAAGGTCAACCAGGGTTTGAAACCCTCCAAATGCGTTCCTTTGAAAAAATGACCCCAAACGGAAAACCAAAAATATTAAAAAACCAAATATATTTGGTTTTTAGAAAAACCATTGAAAAGGAACGTCTTTGGAGGGTCCAGGTAGAGTCTAAATATGAGGATTGATTGGACGTCTTCTTCGCAATCCGGGCTTGCCGGTCTTTTCCGCGCAGTCTGGTCATGTCTTGACCATGGTCTCTCGGGGAAGCTCGCTGGGTCCAGGGAGGAAGATGGACCGAGAAAGGTGCGGTTCGCTCGGAGCTTCAAACAGGGCGACGGACCAGGCTTAGACTACAGACATCTACAGGCATCTACAGACTACATCTGAAGGGTGATGGTATCTGGACGCTTCATCCTACATTCATTTTGGACGACCAAAGGGTGATGAATGATGATTCATGTTGTGATTTTGGTGGCTTCATCTACGCTCAGGACCGCCCTGTCGAAGGCAACCAAAAACACAGCTCCAGATTGGACATGCGACATGCTTCAGCACCGCCGTGGCTTGAAAGGGAACCCAAGGCGGCCTGAAGCACCACAAAGGTTGTTCCAATTAAAAGTAGGACATGGAACCCCCTCTGTTTGCACTGGCTGGTAAAGGCAATGCTTGTCTTCAGCTTTACGCAGATTTTCTATGTTTTTCTCTTCAAGTACCAAAGTTCAACCAGTTTCCAACGCAGGGCAACTCACGCCCAAACCTTCAGGCTCACACGTGCCGGACGCTCAGTCTTCCTTGGAGCGATGAATATACCTCCACGGCCCAGCTGGAGCGGTCGAACATGGTCGCATTTTCCAGGTTTTCAGGGACCAGTCGCATGGCTTTCACGATCTTTCACGGAGTGTCTTGATCCAAAATCGGTTGGGAGCTGCCTGGCTTTTGGATTTTTGTCGTGCACGTCGATGCGTTGGGAGGGATGATGACAGGTTCCAATTCAAAGGGAGTCCTCCAGAACTGCTCCTGCGCAACTTCCGGGTGTAACAAAGTCAGGAAGGAACGAACATCTCTGGAAGAAAGTAACCAATTAACACAGCGGCATGTCTTTGCTCTATGTCTCCATGATTATGCCACGATTGCACAGGCCCCAGACACTCCATGTATGCCATATATGCCTACATTGGGGTGGCTTTGGGTGTCAATGTAGGCATATGACACTCCATGTCTGGGTCCTGTATTCATTGTGTCCCCCAGCAAACACCAAAAACCCTCAAAAAAACCCTGGGACAAGGACCCGGTCAGTAGGCCCGTGGGCCAAAAACACCGGGCAATCTAATGTCGGCACCAGGTTCCTTCCCGCGTCTGTTTTGCGCGTGATCGGTCGCTAGTCTCGATTCGGTGACGAACGGGTCAGGATCGATTCCCCTGGTTCCCATGAGGTCGTTCGCATGGTCCGTTCATGGTCCGTCCGTCGTCTTTGACGTTCGAAACCGTGTTCCGTTCCCGGTGCGTTCCGTTTCCACCCCCGGGTATGCCGACACCTGGCTTCTGGGGCTTCGAGGCGACGGTGTGGGGGTGTCTATGAACCACCCAACTCCAGTGGGTCCTGGTTTCTTTATACGTTGCGGAGTGCAACTCCAAATTGCAAAGATTTACTGCGAGGCTTTTTGAAAGCATTGTCTGCATGGTTGACTCCCACCCATTTTCCCAGCGCACTTCACGTGCAGATCCAGGGCATGTTGCGTGTCAAAGCTCTGATTGCACTCTTGGCACTTGAAGGCCTTGTCCTGAACCATCCCCAAAGAAACTCTGAAAGCCAGCAAAAGGCTGTCTACGCCACGAAGCGTTCAAGGTCTAATAGAAATCAAACCAATAACAAGAAGCTATGGGTGTAGGGATGACGGATGACGGTGATCGGTCAATGAAAAAGGATTCATGTCAACGCTTGATGAATATTGCCATATGATTTATATGATATGAATGATGTAGAATGTATATAAAATTGTCTTGAGGTAGAATTTCACCATATATAAGATTCAAGAGCTTTTACAATCCAAAGGGGAGTGTTTTTATATATGTGTGCACATGAATCAAGAGCCCACGGTGCGGTCTGTCATGGCGAAACGTTGGAGATCCAACCACCGGCCGTCGACGGACCTGGACGGACCTGGACGGACCTGACCGGAAAATCGGATGAACTCACTGTCACAGGCCTGTCGACATGGTCACTGTTCTGGGAACTCCAGTTCTTATAGGGACTCCTGTCTTCCACTCCACCTGACGAGAAAGGGAGTCCGACCACCGTGGTAAGGCCATCCCACCTTGAGCCGCTGGTTTGGTCGGACTGTCCAGACACGTCCGGTCACTCAGCTCGGCACGGCGGAGCACAGCGCCTTCCACTGCGGCTTGCTGCTCACCGGTTGGCACACCATCACCGGTCGCTCGGGTGCCTCAGGCGCCAGGGGTGACCCTTGGAACCCGTTGGTGTCGAAGGTACCACCATGGCCTGTCTTAACCATCCGACTTCGGGCCATCCATGTAGCAATAGCCGCTTCCAGGAAGCAGCTCCAGTGGGAGCCGCAGAGAGTCTTCTTCGCAGGCCACACACACAAGAGGAAAGGACAGAGAATCAAGAACGCTCAGAACGAACTTCGCCAAGTGTGAGATCACCAGCGTCGAGCTGCTCCGGTGCTTAAAGTGGGCAAGGGACACAAGGTTTCCTGTGCTCATTTGAGCGCCTCTAAACAAACAGATACGTCACCTCGCAGTACGTCACCCGTCTGCACCAACAAGCAGTCCGCTCATCCCTCGAACCATGATCCCCTGGGCACTGCAACCACTGGAGTCTCCGGGGCACGAACCTGGCGGCGACCGGAGCACGAGCACATGATGGGTGCTGTACATCCCCGCTGGGCCGAACGCGCTCGGTCATGGCTCGGTGCCAGCCTTGAGCTCAGGAGCCATTGCCTGGCTGGAGTGCGTCTTGGTGACCCTAAAGTTGAGCACATGCACCACTGTGTCGAGTCGCGAAACAAGAAAAGAGTTCATACCAAGGAAAAAGATTGAAAAAGCTCGTGCTGTAATTTGCATAGAACAATATGGAACAATCCTAGCTACCTCAAAATTGGCCATCCACACATCCAGATGCATCCAGAATGTTCAAGAAAACACGCAGAAGTCATCAAAAATCCACCAAATCGGAGCTACCATTAACATGATCCGTTCTCGTTCTCTGCCGAGTGATAACTGAGATCTTCTTTTCGCCTGGAGACCTTCGGTTCGGAGACCTTTGGTTCGGGGGGTTTTCTGGGCTGAGATTGCTGCAGGCATTCGATCACGACCAAGTCTATTGGCACAAGTGGGATAGTCAGACTGCCAAGAGTCTACTAACATTTACTCGATGTACGGTATTCAACTACAAAATATAGATGTTTTAATATAGATACTCCTTGGCTGCCAGGAAGATGAATCTTGCTGAGTCCAGGACTGAACCAACTCAAAAACAGTTCCGATGATCGGATGATCGCCTGTCTCGTCTCGTACGTCGACTCAGGCAGGTGGCGATGTTCGAACATCTTTTTGTTTCTCCAAAAGTGAGACGACTACATTCTGAGGGAGCACAACTGGATCTGAGTGCTTCAGAGAATTTTGTGAAACGCAAAACTGATTGACACGAGATGTCACGAGTCTAATAAAGCAACAGCGTCTCAACGTACGCTTCAAAGTGACCGGATGACTTCCACCCCAAAGTCACGACCGGATTCAATAGCTGTGTTTATTGTGCCCTGCAAAACCAGCAGGTTTGTTCGGTCACTTTGAAGAGCCAGGTGGAAGCACCACCGCGTAATTTGTGTCGTGGATGTCATTTCCACCTTAACAGATCGACTACGGTGTCAGCTGAAGGTCTTTCAGAGGGCTTTGGATCTGTACATCTCTGGAAGACGTCGCGGATAGTCCTCAGACATCTGTCGCAGGAGTCTCTCAAACAGAGACAGCGTCTCCAACAAAAGGGGTTGTGTGTGCAAAACTGCATGGTAGCCTAAAAGGGCCCAACGACATCGATCGGACGCCATGCTACATCTGCGGCTCTGCACTTGAACCTGCTGAGTCCAAAGGAGTCGGAATTATGAGCCAGGGAGAGAAGCTGAAACAGGTGGAATTTGGACTTGTGCAATGGTTGGCTTCGATTGAACTATGACCCTGGAAGTCCAATGATGATATTTTCCCTATAGGTAAAGGACATTCCCAGACTCAGATCCCATAGTCAGACCATTCTTTGTATAGTCGAGCTTGACTCGCAGGGATGATACGAGAGTGTAGCAATGACAGCTGGATCCTGGTGTGTACCGGTCAGAGGATGCTGGTCGTTCAAGTTCAAGTGATCGTCCCTATTCAAGAATAAAGCATGGGGGGAAAGGCTCAATGTGTCAATGAGCATGGGCAACCATCACGGTCTTGGATATACATGGATGAAGGTGTCAAGCAAAGGAGATTGATTGGATGAAGCGTGGAGATTGATTGATTGTCTATCACGGTCTTGGATGAAGGTGGCAAGCAAAGGAGAGTGATTGGACATGTTACAAATGTCCTGTTGAGTGCAAGTCCAGTGCACAAGAGAGGGGTCCAGTTCACCGTGGATTGGGTTCCACCGGTGGCGTGTTGAGGGAGAGCATGAAGAACAAAGGTTGTACAAGGAGTTGTGCACAGCCAACAGTTGTTTCAGTGGAGTTGATGTTCCTTCGAACATTGTGTTCTGCGTCAAGCGTTGCTGCCAATGCTGCCTTGCGCTGAGCCGGTTCGCGCCGGTTCGCGCGGGGCATCTTCCCTGGGGCGAAGGATGCGAAGTCGAAGGATGCGGACGATGTTTACCGGTGCTTCCAACGTCTCCAGCTTTGCTCCGACCACCAGGAAGCCCAAGGTGCGAAGGAAGCACCAACGAAGCAAGATGACCTTTACCACCCTTCCCCTTTCCACTTGCTCCAAGAATCCTTTGCCAAGTGGATCCAAATTGTTTTGTTTTGCCATACAAATAGCAAGCTTTGCCGCTATCGGCCTTTTGCCCTTTCCAATGTCCTTGATCCATGCTCCAATGTCCCTGATGCCGTTCACTGCATCAATCAACGCCCCAACATCCATTCCATGGGTGAAGCAGCTCCATCGACTGGCTGAAATTGTTGCTGATTGTCATCTTTGCTCCTGTCTTGGTTTCAACAAACACGCCAACTTCCTCCTCCATCTGGTCATATGTCATAGGTCTTGAACTGAAGATGCTGTTCCAACTCCTGTGGCACTAACTGCTCCAATGCGCTCATCGCTCAACTCTGAGGAAGCTCCTCTCTCTGCCCGAACTGATCTTTCTCTCTATTCCCTAGGTATCCAGTCGTACCTTCTCAGGTACGGTGATTGGAGAGAGTGTGATGTAGGGGCCAGGAGGGTCCAGTCGTACCTTCTCAGAGAGTATTTGGATCCCTAGACATTGTAACGGGCTCTCAATCTCCGCCTCTCTGCTCCGGCCAAGGTCTCAGAACCCCCAAACTCGCGGAACGCTCCAGCATGAACTCGCATCGTTGAAATCCCACCAGTTGCCGGATGGTATGGCTTCGTTGTCCAACAAACGTCATGGCTTCCACCGATCCAGCGCTTTGCGTTTTGACGGTGTTCCTGGAACGTTGGATGGTCGACCACGCCATGCGTTGCCGGAAAGATCCATGCTTGCAGAGGGGCCTTTCTTTCATTTCCAAGTGGGATTGCATCGATTTCAGAGTTCACTCTTGCTCTTGCTGTGGGCAAGAGGTTGGAGTGGATCGATCCACTTCAGTTGTTTGAAGTCACAGTGCTTCATCGAGCGATTGGCTCGTCGGTGCGTGGAGCGCGGTCGGCCTGGGGGTCCGGTTTGGAGTTGAATGGTTTGTTGGTGTTGCTGGTCATTCTGACATGGCTGGGACAGAAGGTGAATGCACAACAGTGAACGCAAGCAATTCAGAATTTACAGCAAGGTCAGTCGAGGTTGCAGGAGCAGTTGCAGCAGAGCTTGACTGAGAAGTTGGCAGATGCGTGAAGCAAATGCAACCATGGTACTGAGGCTGCAACAGGCTGAAAGTTAGGTTCGGTCGGTTGTGGCTGTGAATGAGGCCTTGTGACAAGAGCGGTTCGAGAGCATGGAAGTTCTTCAGATGATCCCAAAAGCCCTCGAATCCATCGGGGGAAACAAAGACAAGAAGAGTCTAAGACAGCAAAGGACTAAAGGACTGGGCAAAGCACAAATGTTTGGTGATGAGCAAGCAACGCAGTGTTTCAGGCTGTGGAGCATCAAGCTTGAGGACTATGTTGCAAGAGTGTTTGGTGAGAAGTTTCGGGAGGCTATGTAGTGGGCCTCTGAATCAGAGACAGAGATCACAGGAGCATTGGCCAACACCGGTGAGCATGCGGATGCAAATGATGTCGGACCTTGATGACATGAACACTGCTGTGCCTCGCGGCGCGTTCCTAGCACGATGGCCGACAACAAGGCCGACCCACGTACATCGATCGCACGGCTTTTCTCAGGCTCGACTTGAGCTAAACATCCAACATGTCCGAAAAACAGTACCAACTTTGAGCAGGTGCCCACAAACTTCATATACCTTAGAAAATGGGACGAGAAGGCCCTACAAGAAGAGGTATGACATGTTACGACTGTACCCACTTTCCGAGGTATTAACAGGTCGACTCTGGGTACTTGTTGTGCATCCTATAGTACATATACTTTGGGATACTTTAGGTATATACCAGGACCCTCCAAGGGGTGCCCTGTCTGGAAGCCTATAGGTAGTGTGGGGTAGTCCATTGGACACCCGGGTCCAGGTATATATATCCCATTGTAGGTCTCTTCCCGGAACTATGCTCTGCAACTCGCTCTTCTCCTTGGGACGCTAGCCCTTTAGTCCCGTTCACACCGAGGGTCGGATCGACGTTGTCTGGAAGGGAGACACGTTGGCCCCGAGCCACTTTCAGGATGATCATAGGAGCCATCATGCCTTTGTATGGAACCTCTCCCGTCACCTAGGGTGGCAGTGCACGATGAGATGCACGGTGCACTGCAGAAAAAGAGACATTCGAAGCATGTTACGAAGCTGATTGAAAACCGTGAATTTGCAGTTGTTCTTCTTCCAATCTTCATGGCTGCATCGCCTAGGGAAATCGGTGCTATTTGTGTGAAATGACGTGCTTATATGAAGGTGTTTTGCTAAAAAAAGTGCTTCCACAAAGCGCTCAGAAATTCTGAGTCACCACTTCATAAATCAACATGCCAATCGCATAGATGTCCGCTTTCTTGCTCAACCGTTTGTCTTCCAGCTGGAAGAGCTCCGGTGGCATGTGGGACACTGTCCCCAGCTGAGAAGTTAAGAGCTCTGTCATGCCTTCCTCAAGAACTCGAGCCTCAAATCAAAGCTGGGTGTCAAGGCCGTTCGGGGGCTGCGGTCGGACGTGTTTTCGGCGAGAAAGCTACGACATCTGCGGTGGGTCTCTGTGTTTTCTGCGTTTCTTCTTTTTTTTAAATCTGGTGTTATATGTGGCGGTCGCTTTCTGTTTTCCTTGTTTTCTCTCGCGGTCTGAAGACCAAAAGAGGTTTATCAGAAGAGACTTCTGACTTTTCCGAGTTTCCGGTGATCCTCTTTCATCCTCTTTCACTTCAATCTGAGAAACCGACCACCCAACACAAGGGGTCCAAATGGACACTTCTTCAGATTGCGATCGAACGTCGGACGTCTGTGGGATTGCGGAACTCAATTGGTCTTCGCCACGAGCTACAAACTGCAAACGAACTCTGCGATTCTCTAGTGGTGCAGGAGATCTCCTTCCAACTAACCAAGGTCGACCTCAAACCACTTGAGTACCCACTTGGAGACAGCAAAGTACGCATAGAATACAAACCAATTCGGTTAGGGGGCCCTGCAAGTGCTGACAACAAGAAATGGAAAGACCCATGTCCAAGCCTGTCACTGCAGATAACACTTCGAGGATTTCAAGCTAAGCTAACAAGGATCTCTTGTCCCATTCTCATGGTTCTCAGAGCACACCGACTCGATGACCCCTTCGTGACTATCCAATTACCCCTTGCTATGGGTACCCCAGCCCACCAAACACCTCAACCAGGGGGGCCCCTGGTTCTTTGACTTCTCTGGATCCTTGGGATCCAAACTCCCAACATGATCTCCCAACCCCCCCCCAACACCTGACTCATCCTGACTCGACCTCGACCATCCACTCCAGTCTCCTCTGCTTCCAGGCGCCAGTCCGAAGTCGCACACCTTGCAGACCTCGCCGTTCGATCAACGACGGGCGGTGTCACGGTGTCAACGGTGTCACAGTGTGCGTTCGAATTCCTTGAGGTGTATATGTGGTATCCCATTCAATCCGTACCAGTGGACCTTGATGAAGATGGTTAGTAATGACATGTCTCAAAAACTGTGATAGGTTTACTGGGACACACAAAGGCATGATTGTGTGTTGTTGTTGTTGTTGTTGTTGTTGTTGTTGTTGTTGTTGTTGTTG